AGACATGTTAAAAAAGATGTGTACTTAAGGGTTATTAGTTAATAAAATTAATATGTACTCTATCAAGGACATTCTTAATTGAAACTTGCTTTTTTTTTTTTTTTTAACTGTAAGTCTAAAGTAAAGTAGTTAAGAATCTAATGACAGTTTGGTGTCCCATGCTTTGTTTCATGCTATGGTACCAGCAGTTTTATCTAGTATTGATTTTTATAGCAGGAAGGTAGATGTCAACACAAGTAAGCTATTGGTAGTATTATGAAGAGGAGCCCTGGTGGTACAATGGTTAGTGTTCAGCTGCTAACCAAAAAGTTTGGCAGTTTGAACCCACCAGCTGACAACAGTTCTACCCTGTCCTTCAAGGGTGCTATGAGTTGAAATTGACTCTAATGGTAATGTTTTTTCTTAAAAAAAATTATTTTGATCTCATATAACCCTGAAAGGGTTCTTGGACCATACTTTGAGAATGGCTGCTTTATTCTACTTAAAAATTGCCAGAGATTTATTTCTGTATTGCTAATTATAAACTTTGGTGCTCTGGACACAGTACCTATGGCATTTGACTGCTAACCAAAAGGCTGGTGGTTCAAACCCACCAGCCTTTCATTTCAGTTATAAACTTAGCTGAAGAAAATATGGACAAATTACTTTTTTCTATTTAAGAGAAATACATAAAGAAGTATAGTACCCTTTATGCTTTATTAAGGAGCTCTGGTGGCATAGTGGTTAAAGCATTTGGCTGCTAACCAAAAGGTGGGCAGTTTGAACTTACCAGCTGCTCCGCGGGAGAAAGATGAGGCAGTCTGTCTTGGAAATCTTGTGGGGCAGTTCACTCTGTTCTATAAGTTTGCTGTGAGTCAGAATTGACTCAGTGGTAGTGGGTTTGTGTTGTTTATGTTTTATTGGTAGGTTATATTTTTTTAAGTCTTCATATTATCTTTTAGTCAACTGTAATAAAATGATCATCTCATATATATATTATATATATATATACATATATATATGTATGAGAATTAG